AATGATTAACCTATATGTACTTAAATTACTCTCCATATATACTTCTTGGACTACTTCATGGTCTTGGTCTTACTTGAAACTTAGGCCATATTTGTTGCTAAACTTTGTTTTTTTTTTTTTTTTTTTACCAAATCCTGTTTGTTTTCTAAAGTATCATCACAAGATTTCTTTCCTGTATAAGCTCCCTCTACTTTTGCTTCTACTCACGTGTGTTGGTTATTTTTCTCTTTCTCTCTCTTTGTATCTATCTTTGAATCATTTTTTCTTACTTTTCTCATTCTCTCTTTCCTCCATATGTCTCTCAGTTGTTTCTTTTCTTCAATGATCTATCTGGGAACTAGTTTTTCTTAGTGATTAGTTTTAGTTTGCTGATATGGCTCTTAGGATTGACATTTTTCATAGCCACTGTATAGGAAAATTGTTGCCTAGAGAGTTCTACAGGATTCCAGAAACAAAGAAAATTAGAGAAACACAAAAACATAAACAGATAGACTTAGGGGAAACCAGGGTTCTGAAGCCTCTCTGGCACTTGGTCTCTGGTTGCCAGCAAGCAAGCATAGTTCCCTGAGTTCACACAGGGAAGATTACCATTGATAACATGCAAAATTGAAGTATCTATATTAATATTACAATCAGAGCCACAACAGGTTGTGAGGAAAACATGTTTCCTTATTCTCCTGAGACAGAAGAGTGGTGCCCAGAGAAAATGCAGACATGAAGTTCACCTTACCTAGCCTTCAAGGTCAATAGCAGCTCAGTTTCAGATGCTATCTTTCCAACAGTAAGGAAAAGGCCTGCCCTCCCGTCTCTTAACCCTCTCCAGAATTCTCTTTCAATCCTTCTGTGGCCAGCTGTCAGTGCTCTCAGTGCTGTCAGGCTGGAATTCCAACCTCTCAATCCTTTACCCCTTCAGCTCAACTTCAGAGTTCCATACAGAAAAGTACCTCCTTCTCCCAATTGATAACCTACAAGAAAATTTGATTTCACCTGATTCTGTTATCTTTGGTCTAACTTCATTTGTTGTGGTACTCAGTTTTGTTTTTCCATACCACTATTTTAAATATTTTCATTCACTGGCAGCATAAGATAGGAAGTTTTGTTAAAAAAAAAAGATAATATAGTGACGAAGTTTTCTCTATTAGACATATCACTTGCTGCAAAATCTCACAGATGTTTGCTCAGGAATTGATTTTGATCTCTGAGGAATTTTGCTATTAACTAACACAAGTGGAAATATATCCTTTGGGATCTACTGTTGAAATGACTCAGGAATATGTGCCACATTTGAGCATTTGGTCATATTTATCATTTTTGTTATCTTGAGTGTTCCTTGAGCCTGTATAAATTTGCCTCCACCTTCCATGAAGGCCTATTAAAATAAAAATCTTGTCAAGGAATATTTTATTCCCTTCCCACATATATTTTGTGTTGTAGAATGTAGGCAAAGTTTACAAAACTTCATGGTACCAGTTCTTTTTTACATAGGAAGGAAATATCAGGGTATCTAAGACCACATTTCAATATTTAGTATTTAAACCAAACATAGTTAACCTAGGATATTTTTATGTGTGAACTAAATCAAATCTTATAAGGGCCCAATAAATCATTAGCTACTTTCTGGAGTACTGTTACTGTTTTTTAACATTCATGTGGACACTGCTTTTCTTTGATCTAGTAATGTTCTTTGTTCTGTATGCCATGTGATATCCTGAATGTGTTCTGCTTGCTTATGAGAGTACTTGTTAATAGAAGGTCTAAATAGGATTTATGGTGAAGCAATAAATGTAAATGCAGAGAAAATATTTGTTTAATTCACTGTTACCTACCGATATATACTAAAATTTTATCAAAAATAATAATACAATTTTTTAGACACCACCTTAGACTTAATGTCATCATGCCAGATTATTGTCTCCTTAAAATTTTTATCTTGTCTCTTTTGCTAGCAGCAGAAATGTGTTTGCATGCATTAGGGAATCTGTAACTTTTTATTGGTCTTGGGGCCTGAATTCTCTGCCTGGTTATTGTCCATCAGCTCTTCAGGTCAAGGTGAGTGCTCTACCACTTGAGTCACAGTGCTACTTTCAGTTTTCTGGTGGTTTATTGGAGATAAGTGTCTCATGGACTTTCCTGCCTGGGCTGGCCATGAACCTTGATCCTCAGAGCTCATCCTCCTGAATAGCTAGGATTACAGGCATAAGCTACCAGTGCCCTGCAAATCTGTGTATTTTAATGACCAGGTTTATGTATTGTCAAATACTTCTAATTTGCTATTTAATTTTCCCTGTGAAAAAAAAACATAGCCAGCTGCAAACATTTTATGTAAGACAAAAGCATACCTGCAGCATAATGAAATTCCAGATTGGAATTCTCATGACCCAGGTCTAATTTCTTGATGGAAATGTGCCATTACAGAAGCTGATATCATTTGATGATGTGGCTGTGTACTTTACCTGGAAGGAGTGGCAGGATCTGGATCCTGGTCAGAGGACCCTTCATAGAGAAGTAATGCTGGAAACTTATAACAACCTAATGTCCTTGGGTGAGCAAAGGTCACTTTTATTTGGAAGATCAAGTGTTTTTATTTTAGTAGACATTTGACTGTTTATGTTATTTAGGTATAAGATTCCAGTCCATTCCCAGGTTAAAAACTGCTAGTATAAAAGCTAGCCAAATTCAGGTCTAGGAGCTTCGTGTTGTTTGCTTTTCACACAACTGCTTGAGCCACAACTCCATTTTAGCTTTTGTTTTGGGGTATATTCTGGGTTTCTGTGCCCAGGTTGCTTTCAAGCCTGCCTCTTCTGGTCTTACCTCCTAAATGTAGGTTTACAAGTGTAAGCCTTTGGATCATTACATTTTCTAAAAAAAAAAAAAAAAAAAGATTCCACTGCATGGGAAGTGTCATTGCTTTCTAAGGGAAACTTCAACTTCATTATATGTAACTCAAGAGCTAATTTTATTCTCATTTTTAAGAAGGCAAATCAGTAGTTGGACAAAAGTTCTAAACTATGATCCATTAATAGGAAACTGAGTTCCCAGCCTTGGGGTGATTATTATAGGTGGATCTACAGGCTAGATAGAATATACATTACTACTGACAGTATGATCTGGAAACCAGTAGTTAAAAGTGTGTATTTGTAAGCCAAACTTGACACAGAGTTTAGTGCATCAAGCTTGGAATCCTAGATACTTTGGAGGCTGAAATCTGAAGATTTTGGTTTGAAGCCAGCAACTATAGAAAAATGACCATGAGACTCTTATCTCCAATTAACCATTCCAAAACTAGAAATGTAGCCAAGACTCAAAGTAGTAGAATGCTAGTTTTTAGCAAAAGAGCTGAGGTCAAGCCACACAATTGACACAATAAACTCAAAGCTGGGGGAAACTCCACCATGGAGCTATTAAGAATAGAGAAACCATGGGCCTGGAAGATGGCTCAGGGGTAGAGCGATTGCCTTGCATGCTTGAGGCCCGGTGTTCGATTTTTCAGCTCCACATATGCAGGGGAAAAAAGCTGGAATTGTCGTTGTGGCTCAAGTGATAGAGTGCTAGCCTTGTGCTTAAGAGCTGAGAGACAGCTCCCAGGCCCAGAGTTCAGGCCCTACAACTCGACTGCCCCACACACAAACAATTGAGAAACCAGATTTAGGAGCAACCTTGTGAACAGGATGTCTGTGACCTTATATTAATGATGACCCAGCAAGAGCAATAGTTCTCCACTATTTCTTATTCACAGGGCACTGTGTTCCTATACCTGAATTGATTGTCAAACTTGAGCAAGGTGCTGAACCATGGATAAGAGAAGGCTCAGAAGATAATTTCACAGGTGATTTAAAGCATCTTGAAGGTAATGATTATTCCAGAGCCCAATTGGTCTGTTTATATTGAACTGTACAGAGCCATAATATACCTAGTACCCCTGAGTCATGTTAGCAGAAAAGTATGTGATTCTTTGTCTCAAGGAATTGTCAATCCAGAATTCACATGGACACAAACTGAATTTGGTGTGCCAATGTAGTTAATGTTAGCTATTGTATTTGTCTGTAGAGAAGTCATTCTTTTTTTTTTTTGTTTGTTTGTTTTCTGATTTTTATATTTTGAAAATACTGTGTGAAGTCATTCTTAAAGAGAAAAACACAATAAGAAATGTACAAAGGAGATCTCATTTTCTTTTAAACTAGTATTATGCAGGTAGGAGGAAAATAGGAGTATGCTAGGGCTGCTATCCTCTGATGTGACAATTTCTCATCAGTTGTACTGGGCATAGAGTGAGATTCAGAATGGAAGCATTAAGAGTACGTTGATGAATAATTTGAGTAAATATTTCCTTGAGAAAAATAGAAAGATCTAAAATACAGAAAAATATTATTTTTCATTGTAAAATGTCCATACTACTTTCTTAATTACAACATTGCAGAGAAAATATATATTCTTCATAAAGCAATACTTTAATATTTGAAAATCTTGTAACAGTTACAGTGTGAGAAAATACCTTTACATTAAGGAATTTATGGATCTCATTTATGTTTTTGTCTATTTTCCTGTTATTCATTTTAGATGCCCAAGAAATGGAGGATGTGATTAGCACCTGTCAGGAAAGTCACAATAAATATCTCTCTGAAGTAGCAGTCATGAATAGTAACCCAGGGGAGGAAAAAGTGAAACTTATAAAAAGTTTTCACTTGAGCTCCATACAGAAGACAGAACTGATTAAGAATAATGGGAACTCCTTAGGGATGAGGACAGAAAAGGTCACTGGGTGTCAGAACATGGGTGTTTTCTGTGAACCTGGTAAGATGTGTGCTGCATATAGTCCTCATGTGCCTTCTGTAGTTGAAGAATATAAACAATGTGAAAGGTCTTTCTCTGAGAAGACACACCCTATAGTCCCTCAGAGAACACACACAGGAGAGAAATCTTATGAATATAACGTGTGTAGAAAGTCTTTCACCCAGAAATCAAACCTTACTGTCCACCAGAGAACACATACTACAGAGAAACCTTATGAATGTAACATGTGTGGAAAGTCTTTCGCCAAGAAAGCATACCTTACTGTCCACCAGAGAACACATACTAGAGAGAAACCTTATGAATGTAACCTGTATGGAAAATGTTTCACCGAGAAATCAAAGCTTACTAGCCACCAGAGAACACACACAAAAGTGAAAGCTTTTGAATGTAACATTTGCGGAAAGTCTTTCACCTGCAAGGCATATCTTACTAGATACCAGAGAACACACACACGAGAGAAAATTTATGAATATAACTTGTGTGGAAAGTCCTTCACCTGGAAGTCAAATCTCACTGTCCATCAGATAACACAGACAGGAAAGAAACCTTATGAATGTCACGTGTGTGGAACGTCTTTCTTCCCAAAATCAAAGCTTACTGTTCACCAGAGAATACACACAAAAGAGAATCATTTTGAATGTAACATTTGTGGAAAGTCTTTCACCTGCAAGACATATCTCCTTAACCACCAGAGAACACACACAGGAGAGAACCCTCATAAATGTAATGTGTGTGGAAAGTCTTTCGCCAAAAAGGCAAACCTTTCTGCCCACCAGAGAACACATACTAGGGAGAAACCTTATGAATGTAACGCGTGTGGAATGTCCTTCATCTGGAAGTCAAGTCTCACTGTCCATCAGATAACACACACAGGAAAGAAACCTTTTGAATGTAACTTGTGTGGAAAGTCTTTTACCTGGAAGTCAAACCTCACTGTCCACCAGAGAATACACACAGGAGAGAAACCTTATGAATGTAAGGTGTGTGGAAAGTCTTTCGCTAAGAAGGAATACCTTACTGTCCACCAGAGAACACATACTAGAGAGAAACCTTATGAATGTAATGTGTGTGGAAAGTCTTTCACCCAGAAATCAAAGCTTACTGTCCACCAGAGAACACATAGTAGAGAGAAACCTTATGAATGTAATGTGTGTGGAAAGTCTTTCACCCAGAAATCAAAGCTTACTATCCACCAGAGAACACACACCAAAGAGAAACCTTTTGAATGTAACATTTGTGGAAAATCTTTCACATGCAAGGGATATCTTACTAGCCACCAGAGAACACACAGGAGAGAAAATTTATGAATGTAACGTGCGTGGAAAGTCTTTCGCCAAATGGCATACCATGCTGTCCACCAGAGAACACATACTAGAGAGAAACCTTATGAATGTAATATGTGTGGAAAGTCTTTCGCCCAGAAATCAAAGCTTACTAGCCATCAGAGAACACACTGGAGAGAAACTGCATGAATGTAACATGTGTGGAAAGTCTTTCACCAAGAAGTCATACCTTACTGGCCACCAGACAACACGCTCAAGAGAGAAACCTTATGAATGTAACATGTGTGCAAAGTCTATCACCTGGAAGTCAAACCTCACTGTCCATCAGAAAAGACACACAGGAAAGAAACCTTATGAATGTCATATGTGTGAAAAGTCTTAGCCAGAAGCTACACCTTACTGTCCACCAGAGAGCACACACAGGAGAGAAATTTTATTAATGTAACCTATGTTGGAAAGTCTTTCACCCAGAACTTATACCTTTCTGTCCATCAGAAAAAAAACCCTCCAGAGAGAAATTTTATGTATGTAGAAGACATGGAAAAGTGTCTTCAGTGCTTGTTATTTAATCACTGGTGATGAGCAACTTGTGATTGATTCACTCTTTGCCCATTTAGCTGTTCTGCTTAGTGAGCTATAATAAAACACCAGTGTGGACGATGTGTCATGCCTGTGTTATCTCATAAAGGGCCAATGTAGATATGACATTAGGGGAAATAATCAAGCACACAAAGATTGATCAATCTCTCACAAACATTGAAGTTAACCAAAAAAACCATCTTCCACTTGAGCTACCGCATCACTTCTAAGCCCTGAGAGGAAGGAAGGAAGGAAGGAGGGAAGTGAGAGAGGGAAAGAAGAAGGGAAGGAATTAGGAAGAAGGAAGAAATAAACTATTCAAAGGAGGAATGTTTAATTTTTGGTGAATGTGAGAATTATTCTTTCAGAGGTGGGGCTCAAGAAAAATGGCTTTTACAAAAAGTAAATTCTTGAACTGTTTACAAAACGATAAAGACGATGTAACATTTTATAAATTGATTTAATAATTCAGTAATATTAAGTAAGGTGGTCAGGTGTGGATGGTGCCCTATTGGCCACATAGTAGATGGTGGGGTCTGACACCTTGTCTTCATGCAGGGGGAAGGAAATGCCCCATCCAATACTTGCCTCCCAACTGATGGGTGTGGCTGGATCCCTGCAAGCAGGCATGGGCATTTGGCTGATATGTTACTCAATCTGATAGTCCAGTACCTGGGACTGGGAATTTCCTGTAGACCTGCCTCCTGCTTAGACCCTATTTAGGCTGGACCAGCAGTGGCACCTGATAACATGCCACATGTCTCTGTGGTCATGTCCTGTGTCCTGTCTCCTGGCTTGTCTCTGGTTATCATAGTGTGCTAATTCAGCACTCTCTTGGTGCTCATTGGTTTCTTGGTGTTGTTTTTATTCTTTTTTTCCCTTTCTGTCCTGTTTCCAAGCTGTCTAAGTGTATTTGTGCACTGCAATTCTTTGTTACAACAGGCTGCTTGCAGACTGCTAGCTGTGTTATAAAGACTCCAGTATTCCATCTTCCAAAATGAGGCTTCCAACAAAAATACTGTCTTCTTTTACAGAAACACAAAGGTTGACCTAATGTTAGAATTTCTAGAGCCTAGATAGATCCACTGTATAGTTATGTAATTAAAGATATCCTGGAGGCATTTAGAAGAAATGTCTGTTACCTCAGAAAGTTCTTAATTAGTAAACCAAGACCCAGATTCCAGATCCTATATAAGCCAGTCATTCTACATATGTCCAGAGCTGTTTGGTTACATGAAGAGCTCTACTTTCACACTTTCATGAAGAAATTTTTTTGTGCCAGTATCAGCTGTTCAACTCAGGAACTGAGTTGAAGCCATCCAGAGCTGGCTTTCATCTTGGCCTCCATAAAAGCTAGGAATCAAAGCATGAGCCCTGTGGGCTGTTCTGATGAAATCTCTCTCTGGGAACAGGAGGTTTCCTTCAGTGCTTCAGCTCAGGCTTCCTGTGGCTTCAACAATTTCAGTATTTATTTCAATTGTTCAAAAAAAAAATAACTCCTCTTTATGTTATTTTCACTATAAAAGAAAAAATTCTTAAATCCTGTCTATGATTCCATTTACAAGATAAGGACAGTGGAGTTCACATTGCAAGATTTAGCTACTTGCTCGCTTAACCCTTTCCCTCACACTCTTCCCCCTTCTGCTTATCCACAGAGGCCTAGTTTAAAAAAATAGGGGGATTGGGAGGCACCTATGCCCTTTGCCTTCCTACTTGTACCACACACACACACACACACACACACACACACACACACCATCCATTTGGAAATAGCTCATTCTCCCATGTTTACAAACTGGATGCTTTCTGAGAAGGGATGGTTCACAGACTGAAATCCTACGTAGGCCTGTTATATAGCGCCTGTTATATAGCTCAAATTATGAACCAACATAACCACATTCATTCAAAGTTTGTCTGATGATAACATTTTATTAGTTATTTTTGTTATTATCATTTGGCCAACACTTTGCTTGAACTCAGAATTTAAGGGACTTAACGCTCAATGAATTGGTAAAGTACCCTTTCCTTCTTTTAATTTAAGACCAGCATTTAAAAATGAGCAATTACAGTCCCTCATGTGTGTAATCTTAGCTAATCAGGAAGCAGAAATTAGATAGTAGTTGTAGGCCATCCCATGCAAAAGCTTCATGATAATGGTAGCCAATAAAAGCATAGATCTGGTCATATGTACCTACATTTTTTGTTACTTGTGATATGTAATTATAAAATTAGTGTGTTGAGAGGTCCAGGCAGAGAAGCAAGACCCTAAGGTGAAAAATCAGTGATACAAAAGGGCATCTGGTATAGAAGGTAAAGGAAGTCTCACAAATTTTTGCCCCTGAATTCAACCTGAAGACCAATAATAAGATCCATGTAAACAATACATTCTTCCAAATATTTAGTGGAAGAATTTGGGTGTGGTTTACCCAATGATAGGTAAACAGTCCTTTACCAAGTGATTGCAAAAGGACCTTTGCATATGGCTATATGATGTTATGAATTTTATATCCTGTTATGTGGACACCATGAGTCCTGCTTGGATCAAGTAATTAAGACCTCCTGATCTAACTGGGAACTTGTACTTCACATCTGAATTCTTAGTTGCTCAAGAGTATGAGGTTTAAAGATCACAGTTGAAAGGCCAACTAGTTTGGAATTGCTGTGAGAGTGTTTTGGCCAGTTATCACCAAATTTCCCACAAGTAGTGCTGTGAATGAAGTTGATAGACTGTCAACACTTTTATTCCTTTATTACCAAAGCTCAGGGACAGTACCCAGGTCCTGAGTAGAAAGAACTCGAAGGCCAGGGAAGATATTTTGTAAAATGGGTTCTTTGGCCCTCCTGCAGAAAAATTACCATTCCTGTATAAGCCTAAAGTCCTCCATAAGTTATAGTCATTGTCCTCCATTGAAGTTGATATTGAAATGTCTTATAAGCCCGGGTAATGATAGATTGTCACGAATCTTTTGTCATGTGAATCCACATGCACATACCTTTATGTTTCTGTCTAGTTCATAAGTCCTTGCAGAGTTTCAAGTCACTATGCAGGACAAAGTGGTCCACATCTGTAAAGTGCGGAATGAGACCTTCAAAGAGAGATCTCAACATATAAAATGTGGCCAAATATTTCAGCATACTTGAAACAGTATTATGAGAAAAGAAGTATCAAGTAGTGATGATTTAAGGTCCCCCAATACCAATATATTTGAACGAGAAGACTGTGGTCTTGTGCTGTGTGCACATAGATGTAGGAGAAAAACTCTTTTCAGTCTGATCTGTTCAGATGTGTTTAAGCATTTTTGTTGTTTTTCCTTTTCTGATTGCACTTTTTTTCAAGGCCACTCCCAGGAGTGAATGACAGGATATTTAGTTTCAGCTCATTCTAAAAGCTCCTATGTCCTGAAAAGAGAAGTGATCAATCATGACTTGGGTACATATTCACCCTAGACCCAAGCACTAAGAGTGGTTTATGTGAAAGATATATAAGTTTTCAGAATGTCAAGGGTCCTACCACAAGGTTCATTCTGTAGCACTTTTCAAAGTTAGGCTTTAGAAGAGTTCTGCCTTTGTATGAAGATTTCAGCTCTAAATTAGATTGTTTTCAATAGTCATTCACTGAATGTTACTGGATAAGGTAAACAAATAAAGTCATATTTATGTTAGAGAAAATTCTGATATCATCAGCAGGGGCACTTAATATGACTCAAAGTCATGACCCTGAAGAGTCTGCTCTCCAGAGATCTAAGTATTTAACCAAGAACTTTCAATTCCCAAGCAATCTGGACCCCAATGAGAGAGCAAGATGTTAGGTGAACCCTTGTTTCTTCCTCAGATTAACCTAGAATGATGCAATTCAGAGTGACTGGAAGGGACAGAAGCTGGGATACTGAGCACAGTGGGTACTGAACAAGGCTATCATAGGGTTTTCACTAGACCCTCAGGGACCACCCAAGGCCCCCTTGCATTACCTTGACCACTTATATCTTTATGTTTGTCCAGCTCTAGGTCATTTTTCCTCCCATAATTAGCTTAACATTAAGTGTACATTTTTTGGGGTTCCCTCAATGAATTGAGAATATCTTTAATTTTTTTGTCTTTCATTTTTCTGCATCACTCACACCCTTGTATGAAGTCCCTGTTATAGAGGTCTCAGTACTTTGAGTAGATGACTACCTGGAGCAATCACAGCCAACCATCTTTTGCCTCACTTTTACATGGGATCTGAGCAAAACCTGGCCAAAACGTTATATGTGCATTCTAACTTAAATGTTTGTTACCAAAAGTTTGATGTGGAGACTTCATCTGATGTGGTGGAAGTTGGTTGGGCTCATGGTCTATGCCAGAACTCAAAGTGGAAGGTACAGGAAAGAAAAATTTGGTAAGCAGCCAGCTGAGTAGAGGAGGGCAGTGCCAAAGTCTTCATGCAATAGGCAAACCTGGCAAGTCCCTTGGGACAGGAGTGAGAAGCACAGAGCAGGGTATGTGCTACCCATCAGTCCACCACCAGCACAGCATGGCACCTGCAGCATGAGCCAAGTTGCACACGTGTTTCCTGCAGGGCTGACTGTTGACACAGGGACCTGTCAGATAAGTCAGTGGCCTAATGTAATAGTCTTGTCCTATATAGACGATACAATTGCTTGTGGACTAGAAGAATTGGTAGTAAAACATTGTTAGATGAACTAGTAAAAATTCTTCAGGATGTGTGTGAATGTGTGTGTCCAAAGAAGAAAAGAAATTGAAAAGTAGTTCAGAGAGAACTCAAATGACAAGTGTGGGACTTGAGTGCACAGCAAAATAGATCCATTACTATCACAACAAATAGGTGAAAAGGAAGGGTTTCCTTCACTTATTTTTACCAGCCCTTACAAATCCCATTGTGTTCAAAATAATAAGAATAGAAATGTATGTGTTGATGCTTAATGTTTTACAACAGCTAGTTTATAAAT